GCATGGCCCGGTCATAGTGCCTTGCCTAGGCCGCCATGTCGGCCTATAGTGCCAGCCTAGGCATGGCACGGATAATGGGCCGACATGATGCGGCCCGATCAATTCTAGCCATCAGATGCTTTCAGAGGATTCCATAGCCGTTAGATAAGAGTATATAGCATCAAACCCTAACTCTCCCAAGGATTCCTCCTATTAGCCGTCATCTCTTGATCTCTCTCGTCCTCCACGCATAGTCGCGCCCTCCTCCTCGTGTCCGACTCCTCCCATCCCTACAGTCCTGCCCAGCTCCTCCTCCAGTCCTCCCAAGCTCCCCACTGCGGCTTCCCATGGCGGCTCCTCCGTATGTGCTCCCGTCCTTCCCGTCTACTCGACGGCGCGACGACCTCGGCGTGTGGCAACCTCTATGCGGTGGCGCAGCCAAGGGCGCATCTTCACGGTGCCGGCGCTCGGCTAGGATACTACGGCACGGTGGCGGCGCTTGGCTGGGGCGAGCTCGTGTGGTGGAGACACGTCTGCGATGGTGGCGCGTCTGATGCGAGTGCGGCTCGACGGCGGCCATGGCAACGGGCCGACACGGCCCCGATGGGCCGTCGTGCCCATCAGCACGGCACGGCACGGCTGAGTCGCCATAGGGCCGTGCCTAGGCCAGGATGCCAGCACGACGGGACTACACGGCACGGCACGACAGCGCCGTCGTGCCCCGTTGTGCCGTGCCCACCGTGCCGTGCCTGGGTAGCCTATTTGGCCATGTATACACGATGGTGCTCATGAATGCGTGGGCGATAGGCAGGGAAGCAGCGCTGCGGGATGCGCGGGAGGATTTCATGCTTGAAAGGTTTGAGGAGAGTGAACGAGACTTTAAGGGCATGGATTTTGAGTTCATCCCGTTCGGTGCGGGAAGGAGGATATGCCCCGACATGGCGTTTGGGCCGGCGCACATTAAGCTCGCTCTCATGGCATTGCTATTTCACTTCGATTGTAATCTACCGGAAGGGATGGTCGTCGAGGATATGGACATGGCTGAGGTGGTTGCAAATCACGGCACCCCCACGATCTGATTTAGTGTTGCTCCCTATTACTAGGCTATCGGTGTTGATGGACTAATCAAGGATACATATGTTCATACTTCCTTCAATTCACAGTGTGTTGTTGATGGTTTTGTTGTTTTTAGGGTAATCGTTGTCTTTTTCTTTTAGTATAGCTAGCGCTCGGACGTCCAGACGGACGCCCGTGTCTGGACAACGGTGCCTACTGCTCATTTCACGCTAGTCCGCACGCACGCAGGAATCTGTGCCCTCTTCACGCCTTCTGTTCGGATGCTCGGGCCCCCTCCACGCCTCCCATTCAAATGCACGTTGTTTCCCTCACCCGTACCGCCATCCCCCTCATGCATCGTCCAAGGAGGTCAGGTACCAGAGCTGCTGGTGACCATGACAGGGCCGTAGCGTTGGTCAGGGAGTTCGCGGACAAGGACAAGGTGGTGGGCAGCCATCGGCGCCATTGCAACACGTGCAACACTAGATCCACTTTTGAAACATCTAGACAAAACATTTGCAACATACGTCTGAAAACAGATGAGACGCTAGAAACATGCGCATGAAACATGAGTGTGTAACCATTGCAACATGTACAACACCAAGATATACTTTTGCAACATCCAGATGAACCATTTGAAACATACATCTGAGACACATGAAACATACAATTGCAACATATGCAACATCTCCGATTTACTTTTGCAACACCCACACGCAGCACTTGAAACATAAATCTCAAACGCCTGAAACACTTAAAACACGGCGTCGCCGGCGATCACGGCCTACCTGGTGAGGAACTCTAGTAGCTAGCAAACTAGGGTCAGAGGGGCGTCGAGAGCAGCGGCCTAGCATACACCTCCGCTGCAGGACTTCCCTTCCTGTCGTGGTGTCTTCGGTTGGCTGCAGGAGATGATGTCCCGGCCGGCGACGACCTCCTACTAGTGGTGCTGGGTTGGTGGTGGCCCGGTGATGCCACGGCCGTGACGGCATGAGGTGGAGTGGGGCGCGGCCGGCGATGGGGCGCGGCGCGGTGGGGGGAAGCGCATGGCGCGGCGAGGGGCAGGGCATGATGGGGAAAGGGGTGCGCGGCGGGGCAAAGTGGGGTGGGTGGATGCGAGTTCCGTAGAAGGAGGCGGAGCAGGAGGCTGTGTTGGCGGAGGCTAAAAGAAATGAGTGGATAAGAGGCTAGAGAATGAGTGATTGTGCGTGGGTGGAGTCCGTCCGATACTTTTGGACGTCGGACGTTTGGGCTAGAGCATTATTGTATCCTTTTGGTTTTGTGGTCTAACTATTGGATTAGACCCTGTACTAATAACTATCAGTTGCGTAAATCTTTCTGTGTCAAAGCTAGGATACTTTGTACTTCTGTTTTGTGCTTATTCCACCAACATCAACATGTGCTCAGCTAGAAAATTATAGGAGACATAAAGTACATGGGTAATTTCAATTAAAACATGTATCTGTTCTAAAAATCCTAAAATCGTTAAGTTTTTTTTTTTAAGGACAGAAGACACCCTCAGATCTTCCGTCATAGTTAGTTGTGTCGGCCCGTGAGCAGTGCACAAACTTGCCTGAGCCGGTCTTTCCATGAAAAACCCAAATTTGCCTAAATGCGATTCTTTTCAACTATATTTGATCCACCAATTTGGATGTGAACTCTCTTATCTATTTTTGCTGTCAACAGGAGGATAAGCCTGCCGGACACTACTCACATGTACCTTGGTGCTGTATGGATCACAGACAGTAACGCAAACGCCAATGTAATCAGAAAACATTGGCAGCCGTAACAAAGTACTCATTTTGTAACGTAAATGGAAAACTTGAAGCTGCCATTGGTTGCAAGCTGTCCAGTCAGAAGTTTTGTCACTCAGGAACAAAGCACAGGCTCTGCAGCAAGCTGTACACACGGAGCCCGGTGGCGGTCGATGGCACCTTGGTCGACAGCGGCGTCAAGGCAAGCCGCGCGCTGCTGGAGGAGCCAGCTACTATTTCTCCAGAACAAGATGACTGTTGTCTAGGAAGGCATCTATTCCTACAACCACACCACCAATTCTGCTGCTTCAGCCTGTTCGCTGGTTGGTTTTTAGGCTGATAAGCTCAGCTTGGCTGGTGCTGATTTATCGTGAGAGAAAAATATTGTACCATAGCTGATAAGCCCTGGCTGAAACCAACAAGCGAACAATCTGAAGAGCTCGAGATGCAGCCCGAGCCCGCCCCACCGCCGCTAGCCTGAGCCTAGCGCTACTTTGCTCCTGAGGTCCCACACCGCTGGCCGTAGATTCCGCTGCCACCAAGTTACCTTCAGCCTGTTCGGCAGGCCGTAAACGATCGTGGATTATTTATTCCTGGCTGGTTTGATGTGAGAGAAAAATATTGTTCTAACTTATAATCCACGATCGTATACGAGCACGCGAATAGGCTGCTTGCCGTCACGCCGAAAGTGCCCTGCAGATCTGGCCTTGGGGTTAGGGGCGAATGGGGGTGGTAGAGCCTCGCCGCCGTTGCAGAGCGGAGAAGACGACGCCCGGATCGTAACGGTTCACGCTCGTGGGGCAGCAGTAACAAGTTTCTACTGGCCGTTATCGGATCACGGTGTGACCGAATTTCAGTGAACCGAAACAAACAGAATGAAACCTTATCTGATACATGTACCATGGAATGACGCTACAAAGTTGTGAACCAAATACCATCCTAGGTCTCAAGTGAATGGATCCTTCTAAAGTTCCAAGGTTACGTATTCATGCGCCCATTTGAGGGGTACTATAAAAAGGAGCGACTAAATTTGTGACTAATGAGAGGAAAGTCAAATTGGTCTTTTTTATGTCTATTAGCCAAGACTATGTGGATATGATCAATAATGACGTAAAAGAGAGTAAAAATTATGATAGTGGCATTTACAGAATTTGAGTTTTTAGGCAGTAAATTAGAGATACAAGTTTTAGCCAAAGACGTTTTGACAACAAAAAAAAATCCAAAGCAAAACGAACAAGGCTTCGCTTTAACAGCCCGACTTGGACCGAAATCAATTTTACCCATTCTTCTCCCTCGTAGCGCTTGGTGGGCTTGGAAGCTCTCTTGGCCCACGTCGTTGTCTCCAGGGTGATAAGCAACATCCGTGTACCGGTAGGAGCAGATGTGGTGACAACATCAGCCGACGTGGGCATCTTCCAACAGTTGACCTGCAGGATGAGTGGGAAAAGAAAATATTTTCCTCGTTTGAACTTATCATGGTATAGTATTTTTCTCTTAAAAAAACTGCATCAGCCAGCTTATCAGCCACAAAAACCATCGGCCAAACAGCTCAGTCGGATCATGGAGTGCCGACGTTTTGCAACCCCCGATGTGACATTGTCAGTCTGGATCATGGAACGATCGTAACGTTTTGCAACCAGCCCAAAGATGACATTGTAACTTTGCTCTGAGGAGTGAGGACTGACGAGAGATGGACGGACCACGAATGCACGAGAAATGTGTGATATCCAGGCATAACCGTGCTAACGAACGATTCTGAAAGACACAACCCGTCGTAGGGCTATAGTAGTACGTGAGCTGCAAGCCTGCAACTACCCTGAGTCTCTGACTGAGCTGATTACGCGGCACCGAAGTTTACGTTTCCAGGGAGTGCGATGCCGTGCTGATGCTCCTCGTGCCTCAGCCCTCGGTGATTCCACCGGCATCAACCACCTTGCCAATTCCACGGTCAGGTTTAGAGTCTGAGCACGCAAACTGCAACACAAAACAGACTTCCAAAGTTTGGCAGCGTAACGCAGTAGCCGTACTAGTGTAGATGAACTCTCAGGTGAGATTCAAGGTGCCATGAATGCACAGGAATGGTGTGATCCGGACATAACCGTGCGCTAACCAACCAGTACATCGCACGAAAGCACACGGCGTGGTTCAAGAATTGATCCGTTCGCGCTCCGACCACCAGCAGGAGCAGCAGCATCGATCTCCCAAACCACCATGGCCGCCGCCGACCTCACGCTGCTGCTTCTCGCGTCTCTCCTCGCCATCCCGCTCTACTTCCTCTTGGCCACCACCAGACGCAGCAGGACGCCGCCACGCGGGAGCAAACCGCGGCTCCCGCCGGGGCCGTGGGCGCTGCCGGTGATCGGGCACCTGCACCACCTGGCCCGCCCGGGGGGCGGCCTCCCGCACCGCGTGATGCGCGATATGGCGCGTCGCCACGGCCCGCTCATGCTGCTCCGGTTCGGCGAGGTCCCGGTCGTGGTGGCGTCCTCCGCCGCCGCGGCGCGCGAGGTGATGCGGACCCACGACGCGGCGTTCGCGTCGCGGCCCATCGGGCCCATGTCGCGGCTCTGGTTCCAGGGCGCCGAGGGCATCCTCTTCGCGCCCTACGGCGACGACTGGCGCCACCTCCGCAGGGTGTGCACCCAGGAGCTCCTCACCGCCCGCCGCGTCCACTCCTTCCGCCCCGTGCGCGAGGACGAGCTCCGCCGCCTGCTCGCCTCCGTCGCCGCCGCCTCGGCGTCGGGGACGGGGACCGTCGTCAACCTGACCGAGAAGATATCGACCTACATCGCCGACTCCACGGTGCGCGCCATCATCGGCAGCCGACGGCTCAAGGACCGCGACGCGTACCTGCGGATGCTCAAGGGCCTCTTCGGCATCATGCCCGGGATGAGCCTGCCGGACCTCTTCCCGTCCTCGCGCCTCGCCATGCTCCTCAGCCGCGCTCCTACCCGGATCCAGGCCTACCGCCGCAGCATGCGACGGATCATGGACGGCATCATCCAGGAGCACCGGGACAGGGCAGCCGCCGCCGACGGCGACGACGATGAGGACTTCGTCGACGTGCTCCTCAGACTTCAGAAGGAAGTGGACTCCCAGTTCCCGCTCACAACCGAGAACATCAAAACCGTCATGCTGGTAACAGAACATGCCACTTCAAAGTTCAAACACTGCCACCATAAATTACGATGCCATTTGAGACCTCAAATTCCGCTGCTTGCACGCACAGGACATATTTGGCGCGAGCACGGAGACGTCGACGACGACGCTGGACTGGGCGATGGCCGAGCTCCTGCGGAACCCGAGGGCGATGGAGAAGGCGCAGCACGAGGTCCGGCAAGCGTTCGCCGGCCACGACACGGTGACCGAGGACGGCCTAGCCGGCCTGCGCTACCTGCGGCTCGTCATCAAGGAGTCGCTGCGGCTGCACCCGCCGGCGACGATGCTGGTTCCGCGCCAGTGCCAGAGTGCGTGCCAGGTGCTCGGGTTCGACGTGCCGGCGGGCATGACGGTGGTCGTGAACGCGTGGGCGATCGGCAGGGACCCGGCGCACTGGGACGAACCCGACGCGTTCTTGCCGGAAAGGTTCGAACAGAGCACCAGGGACTTCAGGGGCGCGGACTTCGAGTTCATACCGTTCGGTGCCGGGCGGCGGATCTGCCCCGGCATGGCGTTCGGGCTGGCTCATATCGAGCTCGCGCTCGCGGCGTTGCTGTTCCACTTCGACTGGAGCTTGCCGGGTGGGCTAGCTGCCGAGGAGCTGGACATGACCGAGGCATTTGGGATTGCTACGCCACGGCGTTCCGACCTTTTGGTGGTGGCAATCCCTCGTGTCCCACTGCCCATGAAGTGAAACCATATATAGGCATTATTGTTTCTTCTTGATATGGGAAAACGTAACCATATATAGGTACCACCAAATCACTGGAAACCTATATGGAGGCAGTGATGAATTCATGACTTAAATAAATTTTGTTTAGAAAACAAGAGGGGTTGTCCTCTATGAGATTTATTTGAACCAAACTAAAAATCCCAAGTACAAAGTCACGAAACAAAAAAAAAAAAAATCAAAAGAATTACACAAAAACTTCTAGCCATAAGTGAAGTTGAGGACAATCTTGTTCTTTTACTTGGAGTATAATTTAAATAATTATTGATCAAAATTTGTAAAATTTGTAAAATTTGATTCTTCTCTATACAAAATATGATTATCGTTCTGGAACAAAGAAAGTAGAAGACGTTGTTGACTCTATGGTGGGGTGAGCATGGATAACACGTTTTTGAGGGGAGAAAAAGATGAACATTGTTACCTTAACGACTACTTTTGGAGCATTGATGAATCGATGACAGCCATTTTCAGACAACTTTCTTCCGTGTAGTGCAGGGCTAGCAGGGCATTCAATCCCAATCAAGCCACATTGCCACAATACAACAAGTTTGTGCAAAGATAATATAAGTCCGTTTTTCTTGGGGACGGCTCCAATTCATAATACGGCAAACTAACCGTAGACCTCAGTCAGTTTGGGTTTCTCCTCCAGTTGGGTTAGGGTTCTTGTTTTTTGAGTGTTTCCTAGTCTCAGTCTTTTAACCTATTTCTTTCGCGCAGTTGTTTTTTTTTATGTTTTGTGGGTCTTTTCCATTTTGTTTAGCAAGTGCTGCTGGGTGTAATTAAGGAGCTGCAATTGCTCTTTTTCTTTTTATATCGTCTAATAAAATCCACGATAAAACTTTTGCCGCTGTTTCGAAAAAAAACATGGCCACAATGCCATCGTACACAATTCGCTAGTAACAGTATCAATCACCAACGAGCCATTCCGATAAGCATGTCAACCACCAGTGAACCACTCCAACCAGCATGAACCCCACCACTTCAGTGTCATCTCAGCTAAAAAAGTAAAATAGATGAGTCACTGCATGAATTTTGACATCAATAAGGGGCCGTTTGGTTACTTTTATTTCAGCGTGGCTAGCGCCCAAACCTCCGGACCCTATCCCCCTCCGGACACCCATGCTTGCCTTGTCTGATGCACATGCTCCTACTGTCTTGCCCCACCTACTCTTGTGTGCCTACGCATGCTGCCCTGTCTGCCCCCGCATGCTCCTGCTACATGCACCCGCATGCGCCTACTGCTACGGGACACACGCCATGCTGCTTCACATGCATACGGAGACCGCCTCCGCCTCCGCCTGCGCTCACTTCACGTGCCCGCTAATGAAAACACTTTAACCACTTGCTGCAACATATGTCTGAAACATGTGAAACATTTAAAATATACGCTTGCAATATATGTGTATAGCTACTGCAACATATGTAACATCCAGATAAAACACTTTGCTGCATACTTCTGAAACAGCTAAAATATTTGAAACATACACTTGCAACATATGTGTATAACTATTACAACATATGCAACTTCCAGATAAAACACAACTTACAACATGAAAATACTTGCTGCGACATAAGACTGAAACAGATGAAACATTTAAAACATACTCTTGCAACATATGTGTGAAACATATGCAACATACAGATCAAAACGCTTGCAAACATACGTCTGAAATAAATGAAACATTTTGAACAAACATTTGAAACACTTGAAACATATGCAACATGTGCAACAACTCAATCTAATTTTGCAACATTCATATGAAGCACTTGTAACATATCTCTGAATATTTAAAACACTTGAAATATATGCTTGCAACATGTGCTTTCAACATAGCGCAACATCTGCTTGCTACTTGGGAGAATGGAGGCTCGTTGGTGTATGGAGTTCACCGGAGGCAGCGGGCTGGTGGCTACACGACGTGACACGGATGCAGCGCCTGCACGACTCGGAGAGGGAGCTAGATCCACTAGGGAGTGAAAGCCCTAGTTTGGTTTTGGATAATTGATGAAACCTAGGACTAACCTTTGATCTAAGTATGTGAATTAGATAAGGTAGTCTAATCCAAGTGGTGAAGCTAGATGATGGTCATGATGAAGGTGATGGCCACAAAAAGATGGATCAAGTGCTTCACATTTGGAAAAGAAGAAAGAGGAAAAAAAAATGCGCTCAAGGCAAAGGTATAATGATAGGAGCCATTTTTTGTTTGCACTCAAGACACTATAGAGGGTGTGAGTGATTTAGGATCGATAGCCATACTATAAAGAGAAAAATCTTTGGCTAAGCGGTTATCGAGTGCCACTAGATGATATGATTCTTGCATATGCATTAGGGACCTAGTATGCTAACAAATAACCCTTGTAAAATTGCTTTGAAAAATTCTAACACACAAGCGCATGAGTTGTACACACTATGGTTAGCAACTTGGAAGCAAGGGTGAAGCGATTGAGGAATTAAAAAAAGAAAAGGAGTAGACAGCAGTGACCGGACTCTAGCACCGGGTGATCGGACTCACCCCGGGCGCATCCGGTCAATCAGTGCAGAGAAGGAGGCGCTCGGCCTCACGATCAGACGCAAGCGAGGGCGCACAACCGGATGCACATAGGGGCTGCGTCAGGTCACGCATGACGTATGCTGGTAGAAGGGCACTGGAGCTTGGCTTGCGGCATAGAGGTGATTGGACTCGGAGCCACGTTTGGTCAATGTCGACCTGACGTGTTTGGTCTCGAAAAACCCTCTCGGGTGCTTACTGGAGTCGATCAGACTCCACCACTGTATGGAGCGTCTGGTCGTGGCGTGGCGCGTCAGGTCTGTAGCCCGGTGGAGCAAAAGCGCGCATGAGCGGACTCTGCGATGGCACGTCCGGTCTCGCTATTGCATGTCCGGTCATGTCTCAGCATTTCGCATGATCGGGTTTTGACCGTTAAGATCAAACACGTAGAATTCAGATGCGACACATGGCGGCCATCGGCCGACCGAACTTGGCCGACTAGACGTTGGGGTGCATCCGGTCAAGTGCGTCCGGTCATGCCTGCATAGAGCAATGACTCTATTTGTTTGAGGGTATCTATAAATATACCATGGCCGCCTTAGGGCTCACTCTCTTGGCACTTTGACATACTTGACATCCTTGTGAGCCTAAGCAAACACCTCCCACTCATCTTCATCATTGATTCATCATCAAAGTGAGATTAGAAGTGATTCCTAGTGTATTTGTTTGAGTGATCGCATCTAGTGGCACATGGGGATCGTTGTGGCTGTAGATTTCTTGTTACTCTTGGTGGTTGCCCCCACCTAGATAGCTTAGAGCAGCGGAGGAGCATTAGCACGAGTTGGTGATTGTTTGTGGTCGTCTTGTACCTTCCCCGTGGATGCCAAAAGATAACTCTAGTAAATTGCTCGTGTCATTGATTACCTCACTTGTGGGTAGGTTCTTGCGACGCCAAGTGTTGGCTAGGTGTGTGATACTTATTAGCCACCGAACCACCAAGTGTTGGTCGACATAACGGGGACTAGCGTGCGGCAAGCACGTGAACCTCAAGAGAAAAATCATGTCATCTTGTGATTGGATTTCTTCCGGTGATTGATTGGCATTCATATTGATTGGTTCATCTCCCTCTATGCGGCGGTATAATCATCACAATCTCTCTCTTGCATTTACATTAATTACTTTCTTGCCTAGTGTCAAGCTCTTTAGTGTAGCTAGTTGTGAGAGCTTATTAGTTTGGTTAGTGAGGCTCTTTAGTTAGTATTTGAGAGCTCACTAGCTTAGCAAGTAGCAACCTAGGCTTGTGTGTGAATTAGTGATCATAGAAACTAGAATTGTTAGATAGGTGGCTTGCAACCCTTGTAGAGTTAGAGCAAAATTGCATTTCGCCATTTAGCGTACTAATAAATTGCTCTAGTGATTTTGTAGAGTTTTTATATAGGCTTTTCACTCCCCTCTAGACATATTAGGACCCTTCAAGTGGTATTAGAGCCATGGTCACCGTTTGATTGAAGGCTTAACAACCTCGATGTCAAAAAATGGCTCAAGTTGTGTTCAACCATGTGGGGAGCAAACTATCGTTCTTTGATGGTACATGCTATGACTATTGAAAGAGAAAGATGAAGATGTATCTTGGTTTAATCAATGATCAAGTGTGGGATGTGACCGAGTGACTATGTGAATATTGATCCCACCAATTTCACCAACCAAGACAAGGCAAACAAGCAATACAATACTATAGCTCTCAACACCATCAATAATGCCATTGATTCCAAGGTGTTTGAGCAAATCAAGGATTGTGAAAGAGCTAGTGAAGCATGAAAGAGGTTGGAGGAAACCTATGAGGAGACACCAACGGTCAAGAGTGCCAAGCTATATATTCTCAAGGACAAGTTGACAAGCTTCAAGATGAAGGATGATGAGAGTATCCTGAAGATGTTCCATAGGCTCCAAGTGATTGTGAATGACTTGAAGGCATTGGGTGAGAAGATCAATGATGATGATGTCTCTCATCGGTTCTTGATGTGCTTACCTCTAAGATTTGAGACATTGAGATTGGTCATCATTAGAGAAGGATTAAAGCAACTAACCCTCAACCAAGTACTAAGTGATGTCATGACACAAGAGACATATCGTGAAAAAAGTAAAGGGGTTGATCAAGATGAGAAGAAGGATGGAGACAAGAAGAAGAAGAGTATAGCATTCAAGGCTAGCTCATCATCCAAGAACAAGGGCAAGTCTAAGAAAGAAGAATCAAGTGAGGATGAAGATGCTAGTGACATTGATGATGAAGCCATGGCTCTCTTTGTGCGTAAGTTTGGCAAGTTCATAAAGAAGAAGGGCTATGGTGCAAGGAAGAGAAGAGACAACAATAAGAGCAAAGATTACGTGAGAATATACTACAAGTGCAAGAGCAAGGATCATGTTGTAGCGGATTGCCCCTACAATAGTGACAATGATGAGGATGAGAAGAAGGAA